TCTATCTTATCTATCTATCTATCTATCTATCTATCTATCTATCTATATATATATATCTATAATTTTTGAATAATTTAGTTATATGTATAGTATTTAATAGTAGTATATTGTGCAGTATATAATTATATATTATGTAATTTATAGTTTTTTTGTTTGCTTTACATTCATATATTATCAGCTATATTATCACAAGTTTTTCTTTCCTTATTTCTGTCTTATAAACAAGAATAAATTCAGATTTGTGTGTTGGGTTCTGCATTTCTCATTTTTCTATTCCAGCTGTGCCCACCAGATGATGCCAAACACATTCCTTACCCTCTTTCTTAGACTAGACTGTGATCAGCATTCCCTGCAGGACAGTTTTATTTTAGGCTTAATTACCATTAGATCAGCGATCAAAACTGGCAGCAAAAACTAATTTTAATGCTTTAACTCATGAAAACAACACAGAAAATATAAAAACATTAAACAAAACAAAGATTAAGATCATTCAAACTTATCAAACCTGCAACTTGAATAAATGTTTCTTCTTCTTGTTGTTCTTATTATTATTATTATTATTATTATTATTAGTAGTAGTAGTAGTAGTAGTAGTAGTAGTAGTAGTAGTAGTAGTAGTATGCTCCCGATAAAAACATTTTTAATTTGAAAATCTTATTGACTTTGACTTATTGGTTCAGTCTTTGAGTCTGGTTCCGCTCTGTTGGTTTAACCATTAACTGATCAGAGTTCATGGAACGCTGGCTGCAGCAGCTAATTACCAACGTGACCAACAGGTGAGTCATCCTGATACTCAACCGACCAATCAGCGCGCAGTTTGAGCTCCAGGAAATGCGGTCCGGGTCTCCTCCAGGATTCAGAAGGAACCCGAACTGCTGCGGAACTCGAACTCGGTTTTTCAGCCTTTCTGAGAGAAAACTTCCCGCACAGCAGCGATGGTTTGCGGAGGATTCATTTGCACCAAGAACGCACTTTCTGCGCTCAACATCCCTGAAATATTAACTTTAGTATTTTTATATCACACTACATGAAGAAAAATGCTGAAAATAAACTTAATAGCTTTTCTTCTCTTATTTGGGCATGAAAGAGTTAAACTGAGGTCCTGTTCAAGTGTCTTTGCTCAGATGAATGGATGAATGAACCTCCTCAGATCAGCTGTCTGCTGGTGCAGAGGAGCATCTGAAAGCTGCAGCATGGTCTCAGATCCTCAGAGAGCAGCAGGTCACACAAACCTTCAAAGGAAATAATAAACTTGAAGAAGCACATAGATAAAAACGGGTTTAAGAGAAAAACTGCTTGGTAAAATATTTAATCTACATTAGATGTGATATCTTGTCTTGTTTCTGTGACAAATTAGATTTTAAGTGTTGAACTAAAAGGTCAAAGTTTTAAAATTTGGGGACAGAAGCTAAAAAATCCCTGAAAAATAAATTGATTGGATTTTGACCAAAACATCCATCCATTTTCGGCCGATTATCCGGAGTCGGGTCGCGGGGGCAACAGCCTAAGCAGAGAGGCCCAGACTTCCCTCGGCCACTTGGGCCAGCTCCTCCGGGGGAAACAGGCATTCTCTGGCCAGCCTAGAGACAAGTGTCTCCGGCGTCTCCTGGGTCTTCCTTTAGGTCTTCTCCCAGTTGGACGTGCCCGGAAAACCTCACCAGGGAGTCGTCCAGGAGGCATCCTTACCAAATGCCAGAGCCACCTCAAGAAAAAGAAGAGAATATCATTTCTATAGCGCCTCTCAAGATAAAAATCACGAGGCGCTTCACAAAAACAAATGTAAAAAGATAAAAAAGAATTTAGAAAATGATTAAAAATATATTTAAAATGAGCAAAAAATAGAGAATTGTGATTAAAAAAATGTTAAGAAAGAGAGAGAGTGAATAGGAAAGAGGGAAATCAGTGGATCCTGAGGAAGGTGGAATAGGTGGGGAGAGCAGAACAAAGAGAGAGTGGTGAAGAAGGTCATACAAAAGCCAGCTTGAACAAGGGAGTTTTCAGCTGCTTCTTAAAGGAGTCCACTGAGTCCACTGATCTCAGGCTCAGGGGGAGAGAGTTCCAGAGTCTGGGGGCCACAGCAGCAAATGATCTGTCACCTTTGGTCTTTAGCCTGGTGCTGCACAACCAGTAGGCTTTTTGATCACTGGACCTCAGGGACCTGCTGGGGGTGTAGGGACTAAGAAGATCACCAATGTAAGATGGTGCTTGTCCATGTAAGGCCCTATAGACCAGAACCAGGATCTTGAAATGAACCCTGAAGTTGACTGGCAGCCAATGAAGCTGGAGGAGAAGCGGGGTGATGTGGATGTGTTTGGAGGACTTGGTCAGAAGCCGAGCACAGGCATTCTGAACCACCTGTAGACGGTTCAGGGAGGTTCTGCTCAGACACGTGAAAAGAGAGTTACAGTAGTCTAAGCGTGAGATTAAGGTGTGGATAACTGTCTCAAGTTCAGAGCGGGACAGAATGGGACTCAGCTTAGCAATGTTCCTGACATGGAAG